TTTCATCACGCTACGATCAATAGGAGCAGAGCGGTGAAGGGAAATGTTAAAAATTTCCAGCCGTGCGACGCCGGGACGGGCCGCTAGTTTTTAAATATAATTGTGTTTCGTTTATGTGAAGATAATAAGCTTTTATGCTAGTGACTACTCTGTCCTTTCGAAATTCAACATTCAACATCACTACCAATCTATTAATTACTGTATCCATTTATAATTATAATATTAATAGTACTATAACTGTAAACTACGGTCACGTTTGTTACAAAATAAAATGTTATTTAGAATAGAATAGAATAGAAAATCATTTATTCAAATAAACTTACATTGAAGCACTTTTGAATAGTCATTACATTTTTTTTAATCTACCGCTCGTTCGGAAAGCTGTCTCATCACAAGAAGAACGAGCAAGAAACTTGCGTGTTGCTCTTTTAAATAATTTTATTATTACTTTATTTCATTTCACTCATTCATTTATTGCCGTATTATTATTATTATATATTCTTTATTTCACTAAAACATACAATAACAACAATGTTAGTAAAGGCGAATTTATCTCTAAAAGAGATTTCTCCCAGTCAACAAATTCACAAACAAATTCACAGTGGCATAGCAAGTAGTTAGTGTGCAGTAGTAGTGCAAAACTGATATTAAAATAAATGTTTATTTATTAAAAATTATTATTTATTTCTTTGAACTTTAATGAACAGTGAAATTCTATGTACATTTGGTGAATTTAACACCGGACAGTATTCTCTACCAGTCAACCATTGGGCAAACAGAGAAATAAGTAGAAGGTGCATTAATAAATCGAGGAAACATATAGTAATACTTAATATAGTCATATATTATAGAAATATAATTAGACTATTATACACATAATATGTAAAATAAATAAATAGAGATACATATAATAAATATATACATAAATAAATACATAAAATATTATAACAAGTAATTAAATGTATTAGAAGAGCGAAATAAAACAGTCTATGATTCAAACAGAGTAACCAGCAAGACTGAATGGAAAGTGAGAAAAAAAGACAATGAAGTTTACAAATCGGCTTTTTGCCAGAAATAAGAGCGCAATCTTGGTATAAAAGCCGTATTGTATTTATAACGGTTAAAAGAGTTGCAAGTTACAATTAGTGGTACAAGTTTGTTTGAATTTACGAATACATTACACTAGCGGGATAGCAGGCAGGTATAGAAGAGAGAAGTAAAAAGTTTGTCAGCATAATAACGTCACACGAGCAAGACGCAGTTAGAGCAAACTGGTTTAGCCAAGCCTTTCGTCGTTTTAAAAACTTTATACCGTTCATTAGAGAGAAAGTAACGTGCAGGGAGGGGGAGGGGACGGTCTTTCATTATCCTGAAAGCATTCGAGCGCCACGACCCCTACGTGCTGGCTAGAAAACGTAGCCGGGAAGTTTCAAGAGCGCTTTATACGTTTCAAAGAGTGTCGGCGAGCTCGTTTGCTGCAACTCGGTTAGCCGACACAAGGCACCGGCGACCCAATGAAAAACACAAATTTCGCCCCCGAAATGAGCCAACGAACGGTGAAATTACGGCCGAGCTGTGAACGAGTTCGCCCCGAGAAAAAACCCTAAAACGGGAGAAGCAATTTGTCTTAAGTGGCTAAAACAGTGAAATATTCGGGAACTTTTAAAGCGTATTAAAGTTTTGCCGGACCTTTTGTAGATGTGAGGAAGATAGGGCGAGTTAGTTACCTGCGATTCTCTGAAGGTGACGACGCGAGGTTCGGCCTCCTTTTTAATTAATTCGAAAAGTTGTCCGCGGCCGGCTGCAGCCTTATTGTGCACCTTATTTAAACAAATACACGGGTTATAATGAACAGAGGTTGTCGCCGCGCCGCAGAACCGCTTAATTCCCTGAGGAGTAACTTTTAAACTTTTAAAAATAAGGAAATATGAAATCGTAAAGTCAGACAATGAACTCGTTAAGTCAAATATTTCCGTCTCGTATTAATTAAAAGGGGGACTGCGATCACGCCTTTCAAATTTTTAGGTGCTAATCTGACTTTAAAATCACCCTTTTGAAAAGTTTGTTTCTAAGTACATACCTACCCATATTTAACTTTATGTTATTGTTGTATACGCTCGTGACTTTATTTACGTGATGTATCTATCGACTTACGTAATTTTACCTTTGAAATTGAATATATAATGAGTTTTGATTTTAAACAGCATTCGCATAGATGTCCTTTTCAAAAATTATTTGACGTACGCTCGAAGTTGTGTAATGAAAACACATTACAGTTTGCGGCCACTAATTTGGTAGAGGGCGGAGCGGGCGGCGGGTCGGAGAGGAATGTCGCGAGTGCCGCTCGCACCGAGCCATGAATTAATTATTGCGCTACAAATGCTCTTGTTTCTTCAGATATGGAGTTTTGTCGCGCCAGCTAAGCCTCGTCGCATTGTGTTGCTGTTACATAATCAAGTCGTGTAAGTGGGAGATATAATCTGATGCACGTGTAGCCTTTGAAATGTTCCTTAATGAGACTTTCTTCTTGAAAATTATTCCTAATAGCTGTTATTATTTTTGCTATTGAATAGACTTTTCATCATCAAGTACAATAAAGAACATTTCTTTATTGTACTTACCTTTTATATATTTTAAATGTTGTATTCTTTACCTATCTAATTATTGTTTTGCTGGCATGAGCAATTAATTTAACTACTTCAATTATTCATTCTATATATTTTCTAAATAAATAATTTGAAGTAATAACTTTTTCTTGAGAAATTTATTATTCTAGCAACACAACCAATTAAAAACATAAAATACTTTTATTAAATTTCGTAAAAAAATAAAATGAAAATATATTCTTTAACTTTAATTTGTGTTACAATAACAGGTTTAAGCTTAGAATTAGCAATCTGAACTTCTGATTCTCCATATGGAACTGGGCTGGAACTGGGCGGGGTTTATTAATATTTTTTTATACTACTGCGGTAACAAACAAGCAGTTACTGTAGCTTATTAACGCCTGCAATACCATGGGCATCATGCCCTTGAAGAAACCTATTCAACCCATTTTTTGAAGAACCCTATTTAAAAACCTCGACAACGGGAACACATTTCGTAACCTGAGCGTTCTTGGATATATTTCCTATATCTTAAACCGCGCTGTACGCGACTATCTAGGCTTCCAAATATGGGGATAAACTCGCTGTCGATGGCAAGCTTTTTGATGGTAGAAAGTGGCCATGGGCATCATATACACAAAAATACAATGTTTAAAATAAAAACAGTAAAATTAAGTATCGTACAGCTATTGTAAAGGCTTGGATACTCGTTTTATTTTACACATAGGGTCGAAAACTTTTTTGTTCTTGTTTTTCTTTGTTTACTGATATTTTTTGTTTTTTTTTACCTATTGTTTTGCGGATGTTTGTGTATTATGTTATTCTGAATGTTGATTTATGATCTTGATGGACCGGGCTAGGTGATGAGGTGCTAATTGAAAATCAGCGTTTCTGCTTCTGCAGGAACTTTAAGCTGAATTCGCATCCTTTTTCGTTTCCATAACACTGACTGATTTCAACTACTCTTTATATATAAATGTAACCTTTCCTTTTCTATATATTATTTATTTATTTATTTTTATGTTGTTATTACTTGTAATCTAAGTATATGTAAGTGTTGTGGATAATTGAAATAAATTTTCATTCATTAATTTTTCATTCATAAAAACGATAGTTTTTAAAATAGCACAGTGAGCCGCTTCCGCTACCGCATCCGCGTCCCTTACCACCGTTTACATGCCAAAAACTTGCACGTTCTGTGAGAACTTATACTTGGTAGTGCGCGGCAATTATCGCCACAAGTTTGTAGCGAATCACGCCTCCCAGTTTTTAACTACCCATATTCAATGATCACAGTGGTATTTAAACGGGAACTTGGTACTTCATAACTACTGGATACAGCGAAACGGGCAAGTTTTAGGAATTGTATAAGACAGGTGAGTCAGACGCGCTCCGAGTCTTTGATGTGAGGGGTACGAATAACTACTTTTGTAACTACTGGGTTAATGTTAATTGTATACCGCATGTACAGTGTGATGAAATGGTTAAAATAATACGGAATACGAAAGTAAACAATATTCATGAAACTGAATTACTCTCTGTAAGAGACAAAATGTTCTAAAAAGAATTCCAGTTTAAAATAGTAATTACTGTAGTTATTTTGAATGCTGAGATTTTTCTGCACAGTTGATAATGTGAAATTGTTTTTTAAATGTCTGAATTGTATCTATAAGAAAGTTTTTCATCACATCTATTTTTTCATTTAGCTTGGAAATCTTTTCATAAATATTCCGTTTAGCGTCATTCAATTTTTTTTTATATACTACTTAGAATGGCAAACAAGCTGACGGCCCACCTGATGGAAAGTGGTAACCGCTGCCTATAGATATGAGCAGTACCATGGACATAACAGAGTATACTGTTTCGCCCATGATACCCCCCATGCGTTGTCATTCCTGAGGACCCAGGTATTATTCCTCCGTACCCAGTTCAAATCTCCTTTAAATTTTTTTACCGAACTACTTGTTATCTTGCGCAAGTCACTGATTATTTTATTAGATTTATTTTGTTTACACTACCATTAATTTGTATGTAACGGCAAACACTCGAAGATTGGCCGCCGCTATTACTACCAGAAGTTCCGCAATCCTTCAATTTAGCCATGAACCATCATTTTATTCGTTAACGTTTAATGACACGTATTTCTTCTATCAAATTTTTAGATGGCTATTTATTCAAATAGCCACTCGTTTAAAATTATGTTTTGCTATAAAATATGGTCCTTCTATACATCTAACTAACGATGCTGGAGCAAATATACAGGCAGAAAAACAAAAAAATTTTAAATTATTATTTTGGCTTCGATGGCTCTTATTTAGAGCTGTTGTATTATTTATTTCTTGTCTCCCTATCTTAATAATTTTATTACGTTACAGCAATTATACGAGTACATACCTGTAAAGTGGTATGCCGGCGTCATCCCTGAACCAGAACACCATATAGACCTTGTCATTGGCCGCGGTGCCCAGGTCGCACGGGAACTGCGCCACCATGCCCTCCACGGCTTGCACGTCCACTGTGCGAACGCCCGCTGTAAAGAAAGAAACAGCCAAATTAATATAGACATACATTTTTATGAAACTGAACAAGTTGATGGAAAAGGATAACCGATGACAATAACAGACATGAACTATACCATGGACACCACATAATGTATTGTAATGCCTATGGTGTACACCACAAGAGTTACAATACATTCTGTGATATTACAACTGCTTTGCGAAAGAAACTCGAATGAAACAAATGTATCCATGCAAACGGAGTTAGTAAAAATTTTTCTTTTATACAGTGAAGATTTTATATGAAGCATGAATTTCTGATAATAAAGAGCCTTTGTAGCCCAAGAACTCTTATAACACAAAAGTTATCACTTGTGTTTTTGATGCTTATGATATGAAGAATTATAATATATCCATTAATGGCCTGCCATATCTTAACGGTTTAAACTAAAAAAAACAGCACTAAACTAAAAACTGACTAGCGATAGTAGAACATAATTCTTTTTTTTTATACAACTTAGAATGGCAAACAAGCTGACGGCCCACCTGATGGAAAGTGGTAACCGTCGCCTATAGACATGAGCAGTACCATGGACATAACACAGTATACTGTTTCGCCCATGATACCCCCCATGCGTTGCCATTCCTGAGGACTCAGGTTTTATTCCTCTGTACCCAGTAAATTCACGCCATATCCCACCCTTCAAACCGAAACACAGCCATGCGAACACAACTGTTTCACGGTTGAAACACGAATGAGACAGAAGTACCCAAGCATTCGACTTTTGTACAAAGTCTCCCTCTGGTATACAAAATAATCCACCATACAGTTCTCTCTGCAAAAAATATCTTTATATATATATATATATATATATATATATATATATATATATGGATTATTGGATTAATTTATATTAGACCTTTGTAAAAGTGAACGAAGAAAAGCATTTTATAGCATAAAAATAAAAAGTACAAAGCTCTCTTTGAAATGCAATCGTACAAGTTGCGGTATGTGCTTTAAACTCGATTACCTAATTAAATTTTCTAGATTCTTTCATTATATTTATAAAACTAGCTTCTATTGTACATTCCAAAAATATATTAGAGAACAATAGGTACCGCGGAATTCATAGGTTCGACAAATGGTCTCTTAGTAAATGGTCCAAATGGTAACTCCACAAACTCGAGACAAAACTATAAAATAATATAATAATTAAGGCAATCTTACGTTGAACATTCGCTCGCTTAATTAAGCACTGGACTGGCGTATTAAAACGGAATTCCATAAAGAAATGGCTTAACTCTTTAATGACTGGGTGGAACTAAATCCTTGAGTATTCGTTATTAATGATGCCCCTTAAAATGTTACTTCACAAACGATAATAACTACAGTTGGAATAGGAGACATTTAGTAATACTGTATTCTATGATATAATGATACAAACGAATATACAGATTGTTGTGTTTAAAACATATTTTCTTCGCTACATCATTATCAGCTCTCTACTGTCAACTGCTGAAGATGGGTCTTATTAGGGAATTTTACTAGTAGTTGTCACGCTTGGCAGACTTGGTAATATTTTAAATGGTTGCTGCTGCCCATCTCTCTTTTACGGTATCCAAGAGAAAGAAAGAGATAGCCTATTCCACGCCGGGATCACACGGCGATCTACAATACAATACGCGATAAATAAACAATATATTTCTGGTGCTTCCCCTTTTGTTGGTTTGTAAAGATACCCAGCAGCGTCTCTCTTAAAACACCAAAGCCTAACTGCGGTCGCTAACCCGCCTACCAAGCATAGCAACTACTGAAACGAAATGAAATGTATTGCGATGAATGTGGTAAGTTCAGGTAATATTATACATTTTGTGTAGCCTTAACATTCAGCCAGCTCGGCGTTCAACATTTTTATATGTATTATTAACAATCAACTATTAATTACAAATTATATTACTAAAGCCACATTGAAGTTCAAGTTGTTATTGTAAATTTATACATGCATGTCGTTATTTTTCACTAGGTTACATCGGTCATATATTTACAAATATATATTGCATACAATATTCTACATTCATTACAATTATATTGTCGTTCATTTTACTTGCAAAATAATCTTTCAGTGTATAAAAACATTTTGTGATTAACCATTTACATAAAATGACTTTAAACCTTTTCAAACACAGATCTGTAAGCGAATTTGGTAATTTATTTGTAAATTCTTATACACGATGAGTTACTGTTACTATGATATAGACGTGTTTTTATGTTTGGTAGCTGAAGCCTTCCAGGATGTCTAATAGTGAATTTATAAAAGTCATCTTTTTTTTTTGCAAATAAATAAGAATGTTTTTTTCACAAAGAGGCAACACTCCAATATGGGGGGAAAGGGATTGTTAGTAATGGAGACGGAGAATCCCATTGCTAGCAATATACCCAACCAGGTCGATCTCCTCGCGGTTCTCCCTGGAAACTATCATGGTTAATTCCTGATGAATTCATCATGATGGGCTAACTGGCCTGTTTTCATTCTCATCTATCATCCTTCAATGGTGCTCCGCCAGTGTATCTCGTTAGCGCAGGCGGAGTTACCATAACATATTCACCCATCAAAAAAAATCACTCCAATATGTAATATGATGGAACCGTGAGTACTTTCAGGCAAAACCTTTTCTTATGGGGAAGGCCTATGTCCTCTACATTTATTATGGTTGATTCTATACAATTAGTTTATATTTGCTTTTGTGTAATATCATAATCATCATATCAGCCTTTAACTGTCCATTGCTGAACATAAGCCTCCCCCTTGGGGGGTGTTGCTAGAAATTACCATGCTTGATAGGGGGATTGACAACTGCAGTTAAACTTTGGAGATGTATTAAAAGGAACGCTGCTGCCCATCCCTCGCCCTCCCTTAGTCACCTCTCACGACACCCATGAGAAAGGAAGGGGTTTCTATGCCGGGACCACACGGCCAATTGTGTCATATGCTATTTGTTGTTTACATAATCTATATTTTTATACATGTATGCCCCGGGACCATTTTAAAAAGTGGCCACGCACACGCAATTTGTGTCAACATACTGCTCTGCTCCTATATCGTATGATGAAAAGTATACTATAACCTGCCCAGGAGTATGAAAAATAATTGTAGCAATACGCATTATTAGGTCGACCTCCACGTGGTTCCCCCTGGAAACCATCGTGAACAATTCTTGTTGAATTCGTCACGATGGGCTATATCGGTGTCCCGCCTGTTTAAACCGATAATATAGACAAATATAGTATCGTTAAAGGCAAGGCAGATATAATGCTATATTGTATCTTTGTTTCAATAAATTATAAAGTAACTGATTCATTACGTTTGATGGATACTATTTATAAACGTTTGCATGCTATTAAATATGGCGGAACATACTGAACATTAAAAAACAAACTGTAACATTATATAATCTATGTTTCTGGCAAATAAATTATTATTATTAAAGAATGTTATTAACTTAATATTCATTCCACACTTGACGTCGAATTGCAGTATGTTAATACATCGAATTATCCAAAACCAACCACCGGTCTCTGGAGGCGTACAGTAACAATACAATAATGTACATTCCCCGAGAGTCCATTAGCATGGTAACGAGATACGGAAGCGAACTTCGGGTCCCTATTTCGAGACGAGCTGGCGAGCCAAACTAGTACAGATATAGTCACTAAACTTACACACATTTATTTAGCTTGGGGACTTATTTATTGTATAGTTTACATCCCTAGAGTTCGCTACAAGAGTTCGCTGCTACCATATTTCAGAATTTGCTACAGAATAGCGGTCTTAATAAAATAAAAATAAATAAATACAGTGTACATATTTACATAATATTATCTCTAAAAAATAACTGTAAACAAAGGTAGTGAATTTACAGGGTACGGAGGAATAACATCTGAGTTCTCAGGAATTGCAACGCATGGGGGCTATCATGGGCGAAACAATATACTGTGTTATGTCCATGGTACTGTTCATATCTAAAGGCAGTAGTTACCACTTTCTATAAGATGGGTCGTCAGCTTGTTTGCCATTCTAAGTCGCATAAAAAAAATAATAGACACGACACAAATTTAAAAAAAAAATAAACTTCTTGATGATATTACTTGAAATATACTTTTACTCCTCCATAAATTGTTATTACAGTGTACACGTGACTATAATTTTTTTTACATACATACATATCCGTCACGCCTGTCTCCCATTAGGGTAGGCAGAAACAATTGAACGCCAAATGCTTCGATTCAAACAAACCTCTTTCGCTTCTTCTACATTCATCAATCTTTTCATACACGCTCGCCGGTTACGGGTACTTTTAATTTGGCCCTTCTTCAGCACGTCGCCTATTTGGTCGACATACGTCCATCTTTAAATCTCTTTCGTAATTCTTCTTTCATCCATCCTCTCCAAATGACCAAACCAAAATTTTTTTTTAATAGAACCAATATATGTACAAAGTTCCACCTGGTAATCATGACTAACTTCTTAATGATTTACCTGATGAAGAGTATTGGCAAGATTTAAAGATAGATCACATTTACTAAGAAGACAACCATTCATTAATGTATGAAATGTTTTTTTTTTTTTCCGGGAAAACAGAAGCAGGGAAAGCGTTTCACTTGTTGACATTTAAAATTAAATACACGTAATTGCTGCAAAAGTGTGGAATTTTTACTATGTAACAATGCAGTTCTAGTAATCATAATAAGCATTATATAGTCCTGGAGAAGAGGACAAAGTTAGTTTTGAAACAGATCTAAAAAAAAGAGGTAAACTTGTATTTCGACTCTAATTTTTTAATACATATTTTCCTTTATCATTTATTAAGGTTGCCTTTATTAAATAGTTTATTTATTATTATATAATACATTATTATTATTTTTGCTCCAGTTTTGATATAGGACATTAGAGTTGGTACTACAATAATTTCATCAGTATTAATGCCAATCAATTAATGTAACGTCCCGTGATCTGTGTGGTACCGGTATAAA